ATTACACACGGCACGGATCAGAGAAAAACAGAGATCGCCTTCGATCGGCCCCGCCTCGCCGAGGAAAACGTTGGCCGAGTCGAATCCTTCGCTTTCCACGCGGCCGATCAATCACTGTCCGCCGAAGAGGAGTCCCGGATTCGAAGCGGGTTGGGGGTTAACCATCGATCGGCGATCGAGATGAAAGATCCGTTCGTAGCGTCGCGGCACATCCATAACTTTCTGCCCCTCCCCCATCCCCCGGTTATTATGATTTACGAGGGTACGCGGCCGGGACAATTAATTTTAATTAAGACGCAACCGTGCCCGGCCAGAATCTGGCGCGAGCGCGTTATCATCAACGATCAGGCTAATGGAGGATGATCGTTCGCGACCGATTTTCGCGATCGATGATACCGATTCTGGTATCATCGCTCGAGATTTGGACGGATTGGACTTGGATTCTTTGCTTTTCCGGATTGAAGAAGAATTTTGGAGTTTGGATGGATCGATTTTTTTGTTTTATTAATTGGGGGAATTGGAGTTTGGAGGATTTGGAGAATTTGGAAATGGATCGATTTGGGATTTTTTTTATTAACTGGAGGAGTTGGAAAGTGAATTTTGGAAAAAGAAAGTGAATTTTTGTTTTATTAATTGGGGGAATTGGAGTTTGGAGAATTTGAAAATGGATCGATTTTGGATGGATTTTTCGTTAAAAGAATTCGAATTGGAGAGTAAATTTTGAAGGTTTAGACTAGATTGTAACTGATTTTTATTAATATAATAATGAGGAGGAATTGGAATTGGAAAATTACGTTACATTTTACTAATGTGATAGATTGAGAATTTAATTTCGGGTTGATTTTTTGTTTTTCGAGGATAAGATCGATTACGAGCAATTTTAGATTTTAGATTTTAGATTTTTCGTTGGAACGAAAATTTAGAAACGTTAAAACGTTAAATAATAGTAATAGTGACGAGCAATATATGTGGAAAATGTTCCACGTCAACTAATTGTCGGATGGATAAACGTGTTTTTGCAGCAGTCGTGGCCGAGTGGTTAAGGCGTCTGACTAGAAATCAGATTCCCTCTGGGAGCGTAGGTTCGAGTCCTACCGACTGCGTCGAGGATCCAAACTAAATTTTTTTGTACTCCTGACAATAATTTTACCATTTTTTTTCTCAATCTCCCCAAAATCATCACACCAAGTAAACCATCAAACCAAAATTCTTCCTCGCTCCCTTCTTTCCAAAATTCTCTTTTAAAAAGAGAATTACCTTCCCCTTCATTGATCCTCTTCCACAATTATCCAATAAATTCTCCCTCCAAATACCCCTTCCAAAATAGAAAACTTCAAAAGAAGCCTCACGAAACGATTCTTCTTCAAAAACCATTAAAAAGAATCATCACCTTCCTTCTCCTTCCTCCTTCTCAAAATTCCACCTACCAAAATTCTCTTTTCAAAAGAGATCTCGCTTCAACTTTCCCTAATTTCTTCCATATCCAATAATTTTCCCCTCCAAAAATACGATTCTTCTTCAGAAACTGTTAAAAAGAACCATCCTTCCTTCTCTCTCTTCTCCTTTTTCAAAATTCCATCTTTCCAAAATTCTCAAAAAAAAAAAAAAAAAGTCAGGCATCGATTCTCGATCCGAAAACGAACAGAGGAAACGCACGATATATTATCGACGAGAGGAGCGAGTGCAATCTCCTTCTCTCTTCCATATATATATATATATATATATCGTCTTTCCTTCCACGATAAAAAAAGATCGATATCCGAACGTGTTTCGCTCGATGGCAGCCGCCGAGCCGCGCCGCCACGATTCCTTTATCCGACATCTGTGTCAAGGAGAAATTCCTACGATCGCCTCTCTCGCCTTGATCCCGTCGTTCCCGGCTTCCTTCGTAATCTTTCACCCTTACCCCGCCACCTTTTCCCTCCCCTTTCCTCTCCGCTTCGAGGGGTTGCGCGTGGCCGTGAAAAAGGAAAAAGGAAAAAGGGGGGAAGGGAAAAAAAAAAAAAGAAAAGAAAAGAGCGCCACGGGAAAATAAAATGGCCGTCGTTACCCTCGTCGTGGATCAGACCGATCAGACGTTCCACCGTCGGGGGATTCCTTCTTCTCCCTTTCCACCGACGATTCGGCCGCCAAGAGATTGACCGAGATTAACGGCGAGATGCTTGCCCCGCGATAAGCCCAATTTTTACCTCCCTTTCCTCTCTCGAAAAGAAATCTCTCTCTCTCTCTTACATACACACAGTAAATCTGCACTTGACAATAATTACATTTGTACGAAGGATCCAAGGAAAATCAATTAGATCACCTTTCTTTCCTTTTTTTTATTATTATCAAAAATGTTTATAAGCTTGATATCGTATTTGTAATTTCCAAAATTTAGCAATGGTGCGACGAAGCGCTAAGCCTCTCGATTAAGCGACGACCGATCGTTCGAAGGAGCCTTGGAAGGAGAGACGATCGCCACCGAGAAGAGAGATGATCCTCGAGAGAGGAAGGAAGAAGAAAGGGAAAAAGAATCCAAGGCTCGGAAAATCCGCCATCATCTTCCCCCGTTCCTCGTCTCGTGTTCACGAGACGCGACGACCCAGGGGTGAAGCGACCCCTTCACGGTGCTCCGTCCACGGTGTGTACGGGGATGATGGACCCGGCGGGGGGTGGCAAATAGAGCGGGACGGAGCGAACAAGGGTGCCGTGACAAAGGAGAGAGCCAAGGGTCCGGGGAAGGGGAGGAGGGAGGAGGGAGACGGGGGTTGAAAAGTTCAATTGCGCGTATTTTCGCAGTGACGTCTCGCAAATCCTGCGCCACCGCACTCTCCCCTCTCTCTCTCTCTCTCTCTCGTTTCTCTCTTTTTCTGGCCGCGAAGCCAGACCGAGGAAAACTGGAATGACACTTCGGGACCACTTCTATCGCTCCCTCCACCCGATATTTAACTTCTTCCTTTCTCTGTCTCTCTTTGTCGGACGAATCTCTTTCCGCAGCGAAATCTTTTTTCTTTTTTCGCTTGAAATTAAATATGTGTATCTCTTTCTACAGTAGTAGTAGTAGAAAGTAATCGTCGAAACGAAGATAGGATATTTTTGAACGACGACGTTGAATCGAATATGGTATTTTTCCCCGAAAGAAAGTAGAACAGGGCGCGTTTACGGTCTTTTTTCTCGATTTCTAATTTTTCTTTTTTTTGAAATCATTTTTTTTTTTTTTTTTAGAGGAGAGACGGAAATGGATGGAATTTCTCTGCGGAAGGAAGGGAGAGGAGATTGTCTCGTGTGCGCGGTCGAACGTCGGTTCGATTCGACGTTTTCTCTTTCTCCACCTCTTTTGGCAATCCCGGCACTCTCTCTTTCTCCTTTCCACCAGTCAACCAGTTCCTTCTCCCCTCCCTCGGCCGTTTTACTCGGCTTTTGCTCGGTTTCATTCTTTCCTTCCTTCCTTCCCGCTTCTATTTTTATTGTCATAACCAATTTAATTAAGTTTCGCGTTTCGACGTCGTACGCCCTCGGCGGCTGTGTTAAACATTTTAATTAAGAGCCTCGCCCATTCACGCCCCCCGGAACCCACACCCGGAACCCATCCGATCCCACACGCCTCCCTCCAACATCTTTCCTCGATTCATCGGCTTCGAAACCGCCTCGTTCGAAGGTGACGGTCTCTCGATTCACCAATTTTAAACGAGAATTCGAAACTTCATCTTTATCATCGTATACGTCATTATTCCAGTACCAATTATTATTAAGCACGGAATAAGAAAAAAGAAGAAAAAAGGAAATATAGTTATTTATAATAGCAAAATTTTGTAGCTGTATAGAAGATAGAAGATGAGAAAGTTCTGTCGTTGAATCTGTCCATCCCTCTTACGAGAGGTCGTAGTATGGAAAATAATATATGGTGGAGGAAAATCGTGACGAGGGGATCGATATTCTCGGCGACGTCGGCTCTCCTCGACCACGAAGCCACGGCGTGCACCACATCTAAACACCCGCCACCGTCCCG